TTTAAACACTAACTTTAACCATAATGACAATGGTTTATAATCTGCTTAGAGCGAAGTATAATAGCAGTTATAAGCATATTAGTATGTATTGTGTAATCTTTTAGTAGTGTCAAAACAAAATAAATATTTATGAATACAAACCCCTTGAAACTGAAGATTTATTTTGAGTGTTTTAGCTGCAATTGCTCCCTTTTTTTCTTTTTTATATTATTTTTCAATTTTGAATGCTATTTTATTTCAGTAATATTTTGGACTGTTTATTTCTCGCGTCTTAATTTCTCTTATGTACATTGCCTTGTGTTTTTTATGCGGCTGCAACGCAAACATTTACCAAATTGGGATCAATAAAGTATCTATCTACCTACCTACCTACCTACCTACCTACCTACCTACCTACCTACCTAACTACCTACCTACCTACCTACCTACCCATCCATCCATCCATATACAGTATCTATCTATACACCGGACTACAAAAACTAAATTCAACGCATCGCCAGGTGAGTATACAAAGTCACTCAAAATCAACCCAAATCGGCCAATCCTCGGCACATTTTAAAGCTAGGCAATTCATTTCCGCTCAGAATTATTAAACACTATGCAAGTAGGCTGAGTGTTCAGGGAATACCCATTGTTCCATTAATTAGAAAAACACCACATATGACCAAAATCCCATTTGTCCAAAAGCCCAAAAAGCCAAAGTCCATTGTTTCTGAAGGCCCATTGCTCCAAAAATGCACTCTCTCCTTGCAGGAAAGAAAATAAATAGCTTATTGTTGTGCAGTAAGACAAGAATATACTGTTTCCTAGCGTGATCTGTCTCAATCTAACTGATTGGCTACTCGTTTCATTCATTTGTTAGGTTTAGGCATGATGAGTGAGATTGGTATGAAGGTTAAAAGATAATTGTAAACCAATAAGATTCAAGTAGGATTGGACAGGTATTTGCTTTCATTCGGCAAAATAATTAGCCATTTATGCGAATAATTTGAGTGTTTTCCGAGCAATTGGCCTTGGGAACAATGAGCATTTATTTTCAGGAT